GTCTTGACAATTTTTCAATGAGTTTTATACTATATTACGTAAATTTCAGTATTTGCGAAAATAAATAAATAGCCATGAATATGCGGGAACAGTTTTAAAGAGTTCCATATAATCATTTAATTAAAAAACTAAATATCTGCAACATTCCATTATCAGAAAGTGAAGAATAAGACATTTGATGAATTCTTTCGATGTATTCGTTATTAAGGGTTTCACTGCATGACCATGAGACATTCAAAACTCTTGTTCTTTTCAAAACTCTTCAATAAGTTATGATTTTAAACACACAGGTTTCAATCTGATATGCAATTTACTTTAGTTTGACGTGATTTGTACACTCATAACTTTAACATTTGAAAATTCAGTTATAAATTCATGGAAATCTGCAAAATTTGTAGTGCAATCGTTTTTAAAATGGGCAGCTGAAAAAAGTAAAGCTAAATTTAAAAGTTAAAATCGTTACGCAGTCATATAGATCTTTTTAATGAAAATAAATAATACAGAAATTAGACATTTTCGTAAATTTTATCGTTCCGTAATGAATAAAAAAAGCGTTAAACCTGTTACTAAATATCCCCCCACATCCATCCCTTTTTCCCTACTCCCCCCCTCTTCCTGACTTTGAGGAAACCGTTGGTTCAAAGTCCAGACCCCACCCACCTTACAGATAGATAGATAGATAGATAGATATATTAATGAATGTGTAGAATTCATGGTTCATCATTTAAATATCCGGTCTGTTGGGATATACTGTCTATGGTTGAAATCATACCCTGAGAAGTTCCTGTTCCTAAACCGTTGAATTAAATCCATATATAAAGGAAGTTCCACTAAGCATGAATATTGGATAAACACTAGTCTTTTAACGTTTAATTCATAAACACTAAAGCTTATCGTATTAATCTTATTATTTATTTTTGCGGATTACAGGTTTTCTAATATGTGCTTTACCCTTTAAAACAAAAGTAAGATTTAGAAAGGTAAATTTTGAAAATATTTAAATATTTTTTTACGCTTTTACCCTTTTCTCCACATGCAGAGTAAAATGAATTTGTAAACCAATTTTTGAGTATCCTTTAAGTATGAAGTATAATTATTCTCACTTATTTCTACTAAATGAACCGTTTTTTCAAGTTTTTATACCCTGCAGCTACTAGGCAAAATTAAAGGGGTATTATAGTGTTCTGTTTGAAAAGTGGTTATACTAGTCTATGTAGTGGTATAGTGGGTAGGTCTACTCTAGTTGGTTTCCCGCCAAAACTACTAGAATGAGTGCTGGACTATACTACTTACTGCTGGAGAGCCTGAAGGGAAGAGGAAATGGGAAGGAGGAATTCCGTGAGGCCAGGAGAGGAAATGAGGGAGGGGGATTTGGGCGGAAAGTAACCACTTAGAAATTATATTTTTCATGTTTAGATCTAATAAAATATTGTGTCCCACTAGATTTACAAAACCAAATTTTGTCATATCTCTTTCAAATATTAATGAATTTTCATGAAATTATGGAAAACAATATAATAAACATTTTCCATAAAGTTTTAACGGATTTTTGTGTTCCAAAAATATTTCTAACAGTTTGTTGTCACATTTAAATGTTTTATACCTAAAATGCGAAGCAAACTAAACTTTGGAAAATGTTGTGCAAAACATAGCGCTAATCCTGATTTTTTAAACTCATCCTATGTAGATATATGTGTGTGGCCGTGGTGTTTCAGAATTTTTTTTCCAGCTGTTTTGCCACCTATAGCAAACATATATATATATTTATGCTGGACAACATTTCTGAAACACCACGGCCACAGGCAACGCCGGGCTAAAATCATGATTAAATTCCAAGCGCATGTAAACGACGGGAGTAGTTATGACTATGAATAATAACATAGATCTGGCTGACGGTTTTTTAGGGAAGATATGGGTACCCCGGGGCTGACATGGGCTAAAAGTTGTATAAAATTTTGAAATTCCACTGGCAACTATGGACACCTCAGCTAAAATCATAATTTAATTCCAAGCGCAGGTAAATGGAAGGAGTAACATAAGACTATGCATAATAATATAACCCTCGGCAACGCCGTATCCAAATAAGCTGAAGTATTTAGGGAACCCATGGGTACCCTGGGGATGACATAGGCTTAAAATTTGCTTGACATTTTTGAAATTCCACGGGCAACGATGGTCATTTCAGGTAAAATCATAATTTTATACCAATTAAATTTAGTAAGGTGTGATTAATACTATAAACCTTGGCATGCAGCGCCGGGAACTCCAGGTACTAAGCTGTAAATCTAGGCAGGAAATTCAATTTATATACATGTACTCACAATCAAGGAAGTAATGCAAGGAAAGTTATTTCAGAAGTGTACACATCTTTTGTACTTCAGTGTGCTGTCTCTGGGCGGTAATGTAAACACAAGACGGATGTCGAAGTCTGACATGGGATCCATCTTTCACATAAAAAAATCAATGAAATATTCTGGTCATAGGAAACTATTATGTGAATTATCAAAATTATCAAAATTTAATGCTTTTAACCTCCTCGGATACTGATGCATCTATTCTTGTTTACAAATTCCGCCCAAAGAGAATTGGTTTCAATATGTACGCATACACGACCGCAATTAACTTTCCTTGCATTATACCCTTGCTCACAATAAACTGAATTTTAAAAATAGAATGGTATATTATTAAGTATCGTTCCTAATATCTCAACTCAACCGAAGTACAAATCGACATAAAAAATAAACAAAAGCCTGATGGACATAAAAATACAACATTTTTCCCCCCTCTTTGCAGAACCATTATCGTCATATTATGTCAAAATACAATTTTTTTGTTTGTTTTTTCAAATGTAGAAATGTACAGACAATCCCTTTACCGAAACACTTGAGGGTCCGTGATTTATTGGAAGGGGAATATTTAGGTAAAGATAAGGAGATCTGCAAATTGCAATCTTGTAAATGCAGTTTAGAGTTGACCCACATATAGAAAATCTACTGTAGATATAAGGATTACATTGCTTTTTACTAAAATTTTACTAACAGAGTTCTTGCAACAAACTCTGATCATATCTTTGAAATCCGATGTCGTAGACCTTTACGTATTCAAACTATAAATTTTGTAAGATTAGATAGTCTAAGTTTGACATATTAAAATTTTATACCATCAGGATGCAAAGATATGGAGATATTAATAATAGAATTTGTGGCAAGCACTCAGTTTTTCCCCTGTATTTCGGAAATCTTCAATCCAACGACGATTTGTAAATCAAAAAGGGTCAGAACATTTCGAAATTATCATTTTCTGATTTTTCTTCAACATTCTTTGTTTTTAAGCTGCAAGACCCCTTTTCAAATCGAAGAGGTTGCGTGAAATTTGAGTTCTAACTTTATAAATGATCAAGATACAACATTTATTTAAGATGTTAAAGTTAGTTCAGAATCAGAAATAGAAAAAGAAATAAGAGAAAGTATCTTTACGTTTCATAGAATTAAAAAAACATTATCTGACTGGAATCAAGACGATACTAAGAATAAATATAGACGCTAAAAATTCTGAAGTATTGATGGTTATATAAAATATGTTTACAAATATAACTAGAGAAATAATTAGGCTGATTATTAAATACTTTTATGAATATAAAAGATAAATAAATAATGAAAATACTAATTATACTTAAAAATTGAAAACACTTCAAATGATAAATATTAAATATCTTTATGACTGTCGTTGTAATTTTAACTTACCCTCCTTTTAAAAAGAGGGACATGACCGACTCACAACGGTACCCTTAAACCCTTAATTCTGATAATAATATATAATTCAGTATTGATCAGTATTGTCAGGCTGCTATTACTTATTATTAATATATCTTAAACGAGGAGTTATAAACATTTCACACAGGTTTTAGCTTTTTTTCTTAATTCTAGTTATAGTTTTAAAGGAGTTATAATCAATATCGTTATAC